TTAACAATACAGGACAGCACTTATAACAGTCATATAACTAGGCATAGTATTTACACATTTTCCCAGACGTATTCCTCGGTTTTTAATGATGCAGGGGTCGTGATGAGTGAGGGCTAAAATAAAATGAAATTTCTCCAGAACATAGATTATTTCCAGGATATTTGGTCATTTTAATCAATTTCCAAGTGTTTCCATGACCAGAAAGTCTTCAAATATACAGGTTTTCCATGTTTTTTCCAGGATGAGTGGGAACCCTGACTAAGCCCGTATCAGAAACTATGAGGCTGCAACAGGAGACAGTGTTTTCCAAACACAGGCTGAACCCCCCTCTGGTCCCACCTTGCTTCCTCTCAGTATGTGGTACCACACTGACGTCCCTCCCAAGTCAACGTGAAAGTCTGTGTAGCAGCCCTCAACGCTCATCAGACAGTACCTGCGGGATCACACCAACACCGGCAGCATTTACATTCAAATGGCGAGGAAATTAAATCCAGGAATGTCTTTACTTTGAGATTAAAGGAAGTAGATAAAATGGTAAATTGAGAGGTCCAGTGTGTAACATTTAGGAGGGTCTACTGACAGTTGAGTTTCCGTTACCCTTAGAATGAGACGTTTTAATCTAAAGAGGGAGCGGGTTTTCTTCTACGGAGTCTGCCGTATCAAACCACCATATTTCATAGTACAGTAGCCCAGAACTGACAAACCAGACACTGGCTCTAGATAGGGCCGTTATTTACAGCAATTGTAGGTTGTCCATGGTTCTTGCTTGGTTGAATCAAGGGATTTCAGATGGTCACAATCAGCGATCTGATCACTAGATGCCACTTAGTCCTACACACTGATCTTCTATAGATTTGTCTCCCCTGAGGAAAGTTAACGTGGGGGACTTACTTCTGTACTTTGGGGTACTGCATGTCAGTGATGGAGTTGGTCGAGTCTCTCTGTCTCTCTTTCAGGTGACGAGGCCACATGTTGTCCACCCAGTCTATCAGATCTACCTACACACACACCAATACAAGACGGAGGAAGGGACAGAAAGACAGACGGCAAGACAATAGGAAAAAAAGAAGTTTAATTTACAGTTTCTCTGAGGTAACAAACAACATATTGATTACACTTCCGGTTTAAACGTTATCATTTCAAACTATCCTCAGAGGTATAGACACATTTACTGTAGCTGCTAAAATGCTTCTGTTTGCATGCGGTATGTATCAAAATATGTAATACACAAACACAAGCCTTGACGATGTGTACGTACTGTGGCAGGTCTCTGGACCAGGTTCTCCAGCTTGGTGTGGCTGAACTCCAGGCTGATGACGTTATAGAGCTTCTCTCTCTGAGACGGAGGGGTCTCGTAGTAACGCGTCCACTGGGCCATGGACATCTCTGTCCCCTTCTGAGTGCTCACGTCCATCACGTCGATCATACGTCTGCTACCTGAGAGAATTTTTTTTTGGGTTAGTCACAGCAAAGAAATCTGAGTGACATGAAACACAGTTTGAACAAACTGGAAACAAAATACTTCGGCAATCTGAGACTAACGGGCTAAAATACATTTAAAATTTTCGGGGACAACTTATTTTTTTCATTTTAATTGATTTCCATGCGTTTCCATGACTGGAAGACTAGTCACTAAATCCCCAGGTTTCCCCATGTTTTCCAGGAGTGCAGGCATCAGCTGATTATAACATGATCTTGTTCAAGGACCTACAGCTACTGCCAGTACTAAACCTGAGAGCATCTGATGAATTAAAAGGAACTTATTATCTGAAGTCTTACCGACATGCATCTTGACGCTGTTGACACTGAAGTCGGCGCCGGGCATCCTACGGAACAACAGGTCACACAACACATTATGAGCAAGTTAACACGAGACGTAGTAATGTACGTAGTGTAGATGAGGAGCAGAGAGAAATAAAGAGGACGCCTACTTGAGTCCCAGTCCGTCGGGCTTCTCAAAGACGATTGGGTCCCTCAGGCCGCCTCTCTGGACAAACTCATATGTGAAGTCTAAGAAAAAGAGAAAACAACACAACAAAATGTGACCACGGTATGGTCCTTCTTATCGTCCATTTTACTGCTGGTTTCCCATCATTCACTGCTGGCTGTTTTATTATTTTTTAAGATACCTGATTCAAACAACCTTTACGTCTACTCTCATTCAACTCTGCCACAGCTTTATTAACCAAACATTAGTCTTTTGAGCTGAGCGTCTCTGACCTGAGATCAGGTGTCCACATAATCGCAGACCGTGCCCGCCTACCTTTTCCCTCCATGCGAAGAACCCGGTCAGAGCTGAACCTCTGACTGCTGACTTTCTCCTCCAGGTCGAACATTCTCCTTCCGTCGATCTCCTCATCTGAGATGCCGTCGTCATGGTAACGCCGCCGCGTGCCGGCACGCTGGAGAGGAGGAAAAGGAGGGTGGATGGGTGAGAATATAATAAAAAGGTGTGGTAAAGACAGGTGACAGAACAGGCATAATGGTCGAAGAACGAGACAATCCCATTACTACTCAACTATAAAATAACTCCACAACTAACTTTGATCATCGATTCATCGATTTGATTTTTCTTAAAGAAAAAAAATGTCTAAATTCTCTGATTTCGGTTTTCTGCTTTCTTTAGTCCTCTGTGACAGTAAACTGAATGTCTTTGGACAAACCGAGACATTTCAGGATGTCACCTTATGCTTTGGGAAATACGGTTTTCACAATTTTATGGACCAAATAGCCGTATATTTAATTGAGTAAATGGTTAATAAATTAATCAATAATGAAAATCATGGTTAGCTGCCAATAAAACGAAGAGCCTGGTTAAAGGTAGACTGTATACTTCATACAGCTTTCATTCTTAAACACTCACTGTGTATTAAATAACAGAAGCAAAAATAGCCTCAGTGGAGACGAAACCACAACACAAAAGTGGATGAAAACATCCAGCAGGTACAACTGTCACACAGTAGAAGACTTTTCTCACATTAGAAAATGTGTTTCCCTTCAAACAGACTGAATACCTTAACACTGGTTTCAAACATTGGCACTAATTGATGGAGAGAGAATACTGCTTCAATAGGGGTCCCAGGTCTGGACAGATGACAGAGGGATAATCCCAGGCTGAGCCCCCAACCCCCCACCATAATCTCTCCTGCTTCTTTACTAGTTTCTGCATTCCTCCATGCAATAAGATTAGCTTAATATAGTCTTTTCTTATTACACTGGTGTCATATGTGCCCCTGTGTCCTCGTTGATAACGTGTAGTTTTTACACACCTGAGGGTAAGAAAGGTTAAAGATTCACAAACAGACTTTAGCTTTCATTATTATTATTATTATTATTATTATTATTATTGACCAACAATTTAAGTTGGATGTTAATTGTCACTGAATGATCTCATTATCGACTGATAAGTTATCTGCCCTGATAATTATTGTGCATCCCAAATTGAAAGATGGACAGATTAACCAATTAAAAATGTTTCACTTATCAAACTTTTAGCTAAAATGTTCACCTTTCCACTCTGAGCTGATGAGCTTCCTAGCCTTCTATAGGCAGCAGAGTGCACAGTGTTTGCTACAGATCTGATGTAGGGGTCTAAAACTCCACAAAAAGGACATACCGGCCTCCTGCGGCACAATCCACTGTAACAACATCCCACTTTTAAATTAGAGGTGTGTAACATCTCCAGACAGCCACAATAACACACACACAAACACTTGACAACTAACGTTAGTGCCGAGAGACTAGATTAAAGACTTTTGGCGTCAACTCTTTGGAACACTGGGAATCAAACTCAACAATCTACTATGTTTGAGCGTCCAACCCAAAGCATCTTCATCTCGTCTGATTGGTTGTTTCCGTCCAGCCCCGGTGGATTCTAATATTATATCTATTCTAATTCTTCTCCATTTAGAAGCGCCTAAAACAACCTGATTTTTTCACAGATTATTTGTCTCTGTCAACGATAACAGCTGAAAGTTTCAGCAAAACTGGGGGCCAAAAGCTATTTTTTTTATAAAAGTTACCTACTGCAGGCTTAATTTCTCCTTTTGTTTACAAATATGATGTGAACAACACACATTTTTTGAGCCATGTCCTCCTGGGCAGTGAGGAATAAGATAAGACAGAACTTTCTTTATCTCAAGAGTAATTGTTGTAATTATAGCCAAACTCTCTTTAAACTTACCAGCCTTTTGCTGTACCGTGGCTTGGAATCATCCATTATCACAGGAAACAGGCGCTCTGCCCAACCAAGAGCGGGTATTCAACAGCGCACAGTGTCAACCACCGTCGGCTGTACCGTAACGCAGCTCGGCTCCATCGGATAGTAAACAACGGTGGCTCTACTACTAGGCTAACTTAGCTTAAGTTACAACAGAAAAAAAAAAAGTCTCCTGGCTAGCTAACTGAGACGAACCTAAGCCATTTGTTGTCTTTGGATAGCTCTAAAACTCATCTCACGTTAACCTAACCTCACTGGCTTGACAGTGAGTTTGCTGAACCAAAGTGAGCTGGGTATGGGAAGCTTAATGTGGAGCCAAACTCTTTTAAAGAGGCCAATTACGGTAACAAGTGAAAATGTATAGAAAATTATGTTTATAATAAAATCAAGCCTGTCTGAATACTCGAGCTTTGTTCCTTGCCTTCACCATACCAACTCGTGTCCCGCTTTTTGAAACGGCGTCCCGCTCTAACAGATAGAAAAAAAACAACATGACCTAAAGTCTTGTTAAAATAACAATACTCAGATATTTCTTATACACTACAATAAAAGGGTGTACATGCTGCTGTTAATACTAATATGGGATAAAGTTAATGCGGTGTACGAACAGCCGCCATTTTCCATCCCATCACCATGTCACGCCCCCCAGCGGGGCATTCATTGGACTAGAGCAGTGTCACTCACACGGAATATGTGTAAACCGTGATTGGACAAGAATATCCAATAGACATATAAAAGGTCTGGCAAACAACCAATAACAGCGTAATTCGAAAACGACCGAATAGCTCATTGGTTAATATATACCAATAACGTTAATTAGTGGACGAGAGAACAATCAGTCAAGAGAAGTGGCCAATCACGCGATAGTACACCGCACTGACCACCGTCCCATTACCCAAATATAACTAGTCATCATTCATAGAGAACCCGAATTAGCTAAATAATAAGGCGTTTTACAAAACTCACCCCCATATTCACACAGGTCCGTCCACCTTCAAACGCCTCCAGTAATCCGAGCTGTGTGACGCCCTGTGCGGCCTGTGTTTTCTCTCTTGGAGGCTCGCATCGGAGGGACACGTTTTGTAGCCTTCACCTCAACGAGGAAGTGCGTGCGGGTCCATACATGGAAGTGTACTGCGAGCAAACCGTCGCCGATTGGCTGGAAAATGTTGCTAGGCTCTCGTGATTGGTCGAAGCGGCTTGTCCGTCAAACGCGTACCGCTAGAATACGGCGAGCGAGAGGAACATGCCTAGCCGTGACGCGCACTACGAATAAAACAAAACATAAATAATCACTAATAAGCGAAATAAATAACAACTTGGTTTTATTTTCATCAACCGGGGGGGCAATACTACAAAAAAACGTGGTTTTCACAACAGAATAACGCCCCTTATAAATCGCTACAAAGTGACAGGCCTTAAATAATGGAAGCAGGAAAGGGAGGACACACAAAATCCCACTACATGTTATCGAAGTGTCACGCAAGCTAACCATAAGAAAGGTGAACAGGATGGCGAGTGCTGATTGAACCATGGTCGACCATTAATCTTGACTCATTTCCAACCTGCCCCCCTTGAATCCACACTTCACTTTATTTCTAATTGTAAAATGTAACTATTAAGATTATTACTATTACAAGTTTACATATAGGCTTCTGGAAACCTGGTTAGTAAAGTGGGGTCCTCCTGCTGCCCCCTGGACACCCACAACATGCAAGGTCACCATATTTACAGGTCCCGGTTACCCAGATGTCATATCCCATTGATGGGACGTACATTTTATCCATTGATGTCAGCATGAGTCAGTGAAGAAACTGGTAGACATACTGTATAACATCCACAGGGTAGGTTTTTGGCAGGTGTTGTAGTTTGACACCTGATAAATATGAGAAAACTGTCAGCCCATGTGAAGGAAAGAAATGATTCTGTAAGTTATTCTAATGAGAAAGTTGCTAAACATTTTTACTTAGCATCTCAAAATAATGACTTAGTATCATAAAGTGAGGAAGAGATACTAATTCAAAATATTCTCATTGTTTTGAGATGGAAAGTCAATATTTGAGATTCTTTTTATAATGATTTACAAAATCTTTTGGCGGAAATGGGTTTCCATAGAAAACACCACTGCTTGCATTGCTCCCAAAAACAATTCCCAACAATAGTTCAACAAGCCGTGTCTGCAATCATTTTAATTAATGCCGTTATTTTGTGATCAACATTATAACATAATACTGATACCATTTTCTTTTTCTAGCATGCCAGCAATATACTTCCAACTCTTCATGGGGTAAGATAAAAATGGGACATTTACTTTTGATCTGATGTGTGCATGAGCCAGTGACCAATTTTAGTCTCAAGGAGGCTAACATTGCAAAAGCTAAAATCCAAATGTGGGTTAGGAGTAGGCTGACACTACAGGAGGGGGCTGCGGCGTCGGTGCCTGCCCACAACTGCAATGGAGCCGACTGCATTTGTGGATCCAGAGCAAAGAGAGGAAGGACGCAAATGTCCAAGACTAACCAGAGTCAGACCATGGCATGAAACAAGAACATCCCCTTTGGAAATACAGCTGTAGTCTTAAAAAAAAGAAGGGGTTGGGGGGACGACACACATACACATATTAAAAATGAAAGCAATCTTTGTAATACACACACAAACAACAAAGACCTAAAGCAGTAAAACACCCCCAAGGCAGTGTCAGTGTAATCAAATCAAGCAGGGCTGTGTTTGTTTCCATTTCTACTCTAACAACCTTAGAATCTACTTCTGTTCTCAGCTCATACAGCGTCTACTATCAGTCACCTTCTAATCATTTCAACATTAAAACTCCAATATTTGTTTTGTTTTTTTAAAGAAAGTGACTTTCTTCCTTCATTAAATTGAAAAGTGATTTGAATAAAGGCCCACTATGGAGTCATAGCGGGTGCCTATCCACAAACGTGATATGAGTTGTATCGTTAGATGCAGTCGATAGCATAAGTACTGGCACAGTGGTAGGATTTCCACATCAAAACACAAATAACAGACAAATGTACAAAAGAATAGCAACAGCTGTCTCAATACTTAGGATACGGACTTCATAGATATGCATCATGATGATGGGCAGTGTGGTACTACAGGGGTTCCTGTCTGAGGTCACAGCTTTACCTACAATTCATTCAATTGGTATTCATTTAGAATCATTTTCAGTTCTTTCCTGGATATGACAACATTCCTTTCTCCTTAGTTTTTCTGTTTCAGTGTATTTGTGTGTCTTTTAGTCTGTAGAAGCTCACTGAAATACGTTCAGGTTTGACAGCTTTGTCGGGAATTTTAAGGGAGACTGGGAAACACAGGTGAAATGAAGAAATCCTCTTGTTTCATATGATAAAAATGGACAAAGCTACGACAGGCTAGCTGACAGATTAGCATGGTATTTACTCTAGGTATTCATGGCCCCTAGATAAGTAAAACATAAATATCTTGGCGACCCGTTCACCTTTAATCTGGTGCCACCGTCTGGTCAACGTTTCCACTCTGTAGTTAATAGCATTCAAACTCATACTGCAACAGTAAATATGCTGAAATCACTGCTCATTGTGTATGGAACGTGTTCTCTGATCCTTCACCTCGATAGCTTGTTGGGCGATACACTTCATTACTACTGCTATACAATCTATCTGCTATACAGTACAGTTCACATTTATGCAGCCTATAAATTCAGGTTGTTGTTGGAACTAGAATTCTGTTGGTTCAACTGTGGTCATTCTGAGGTCATATGGCCCTTCATGAGTTCTGTAGCTGTCCAACAATGCTGATCTAAGCCTGCATGAGGCAGATAAATCCAAACTATAAATGCTTTTGAGTCGTACTTGAAGCTCCTCTTATACCTTATTCATCAAAGCTCCATTTAACTTTAATCATCCAGACACTGCACTTACACTGAATTCAATGTGGATCACTCGGAGATGGTTAAAAAAAAGTTGTCATAACACACTGAGAAATAACTGAGAATGAATGCAAATATATCCGGCCTTTATTTCTGTTTTAAATAAGTCGAGGTGACAGTAAAGTGAGCACAGGCCCCGCTTTACGACCATCAGAGAGCAGTTCCGCCCTGCCTCTCATCCTGTACTGTGTGTGGACTCGTTCACGTCCTCTATTTGATGAAGCTGTAGAGAAATGAACCGAGGATGAGGGCCAGAATCACACAGCAGCAGAAGATCATCATTTGTTTCTGGAGGACAGGAGGGAGACAGAGAGATGAATTAATATTTCATTCTTAATAAATTAATTTGTAAGCAAACTTGCCTATTTTTATTGTAAATAGTTAAAATTCCTGTGCACCATTCAGTGAATGCAGTTATGTTATCTATGAACAGAACAAACAAAAGACTACAGAAAACTCTGTAATCAGTTATGGGACTGTTATGACTTGTCCCTGCTGGATCATGCTGAACTCACCCTGCGGGCCTCCTGCTGGAATTTGGCTGCTTTTTTGGTGTCAGCCACTGCTCTCTCTACAAAGCCCACCGACTGGTCCATGTTACTCTCGATTCTGTCAATCATGCCACCCTGGAGGAGGGCGGGACAAGACGGAATAACGCAGAAGAGGACAAAACAGGAAGACAGACAGATAATAGTGGCATGCATATGTTTGTGATGCTGGCTTTGTGCATTTCAGTAACAAGTGCTCCAACTCCTTTGTTTTGTCTTTTAACTTCCTGTCTTCACAGGAAGTGGGAATGTGTAGTGTTGTGTTGGTGGATGTTTACTTCACCTGCATTTTATCAAACATTGAGCAATTTTATAATCTAACGTACAGCGTGAAGGACTGACAGAGCTGGAAGAACCTGACTTTCTTCTACAAGGATTCTAATATTAGTTTACCTTACTGGTCAGAATGTGTTGGCTCTGGTTAGTTAGACTATTACACAGTATTATTCTAAATGATATTATCAATAAAGAATATATATTACATAGTTGGGGGAGAAGTTGTGTTTTAGTTCATGTTTATTACATTAAAAATGATCTAGTTTAGTGTTTGTTAAAATAATTATAATAAGATAATTAATATCCAGATTATAATTAGTATCCGCTTCATCGTATAAAGGTCATAAAATGTTTTACCATAGAAACATCAAACTGTTGTTGCAACACACATTAAGCTAACGTTAGTTGAGCTAGTTGTGAGCTAGTTAAAGGCACTGTAAGTGATATTTTTTGTTATAATAAGTGTGAAACAGCTTTACATTCTGACAACCATCACTGATATGGAGTGTTCACTCAGTAACGTGTCTCCTGGTTTCCCACTTTATCCAATCAGGAGAGAGAACTCCACAAAGAGGCGGCCCTTAAGGGCAGACAGCAGAATGTCAGTGCGGTGATGGGGAGGAGGGAGGGGACTGCTTACTGAAGGAGCAGACAGGAAGTTAGCCAAAATGCCAATTATGCTTAGAGCACCTTTAACGGCGTAGGTAACTTTGCTCCATCTTCTTAATCTGACATCTGTAGGTGATGTAGTGATATCAGGTCAAATGATCTCCACAACAATGTGGTTTGTATTTCCAACTTTGAGAAATGTATAGCAGGCGATGTGAAACCATCAGGTAATGGAACAAACAAAGCAATGGGCGGGGCTCGTGGGGGAAGCATTGCTTTTATCTATGTTCTTATTAAGTGGATCTAATATTATTAACAGTATTCCACGTGGTTAATGGTAGTGACTGTGTGAAAGGAGAGCTTCATAAGCACTAAATCTTTCCTGAAAGCATCAAAAACAGTGTATGTAGCAGAGAACCAACAGACCTTTTTTGGTCAATTTCCTAAATGTTCAATTAGATTACTACTTCAACTGGCTCCGAAAAGTGGAAGATGATGGGTTTTTAAAAAAAAAGAAAAGGAAACAAGCTAAAAAAAGACAACATAACCCTTTCTTCATGTCAAATTTGAATGTTCATATGGCTACAATGCAGGTGTAAGACAATGTCGTTTTAAAATGTTGAATGAGATTTTCCGTTTTTGTCGTTGTTGTTGTGTGTACCTGGTTCTCAACCAGCATGGCGATATCGACGAACATGTCATGGAGCTCTTTGATGCTGCTTTCCAGCCTCATGATGTCTTTATGACGAGCTTCAATCTCATTCAGGGCCTGCTGGTTGATCTTAGAGTCCATGATCTGGGCAGGGAGGACAAATCAAGGTCAGTGTAAGAATATGTAAAAAAAAAAAGATGAATAAAAAATCTGAGGCAGAACTGATAATAAAATAGCCGGTCATTAATTTTCTAATTGATTGATTGACTGATGGATTCATCCCTGGTTGTGTTACTGTCCCTCTGTTTGTGAGTTTATGTATACAGATCCACACAGTGTCAGCCTTACCCCGGCAGTGAAGACAGCTGAGTTTCCTCCCTCCAGCATCTCTTCCAGCTCGTCATCAGTCGTTGCTTTCCCCGCTGCGACGAGCAGAAAGGACAGTTATACAAGTGTTTCAATAAATAACTGTTAACAGCTGACAGGCCTGGTTCAATACAGAAGGTAGATCGACTGACAGAAAAACAATCATATACCAAAGCAACTTCCGGGCCCTGATTCAGGAAAAATAAGACATGTCCTACAAAACTATGGTCTGTACAGATATACAGATGACAACTACAAAATGAAACGGGCCATACAGGAAAGTATTAAGTATTTCTACCTAACTCTACAACAAGACCACATGTGAGTGATCATGTCCTCCTTTAGTCTGATTGTGTAATAATGAGCTGGAACTCACTGATCTCCAGCTGTCGGGCGATTCGTCCTTTGCTCTTATCTCTGAATTCAACTTGGGCCTCATTGTATTTTGTCATCACCTCCACAAACTTCTTGGCCAGGATAGCATGCTGGGGGGGGATGAAAATGCAGATACCTTATTAACTCACATGAAACATATGTCATAATGTGGATTTAGAGTTTTCCCTGAATGTCATTGACAAACTATTTTGATCATCTTTAGTTCATCCTTTCAGCTGCTAGTTTTGGTTGGAGCGGGCTGAGGGATCATATTGTGTGCTGGAATTTTAAACCATTATAAATGTGTTGTTGACTGTTCCATCCATTTTTGTAGTCATGTCAAGGTGCAAACACCTCTGCAATCACATTTAAACCATCATGGGAAAGTGAGAAAACCACACTTGTATACCCAAACTCCTGCCTGATCCTGATCCAGCTCTGGAAGTTTTCCTAAAAATGACTGATCTGAGGTAGAGTCATTTTAAAATGTCCTAAATTCTATTTTTTAGTTTCTGAAATGTTTACATACAACCAAAGACAGCATTTAGAGCAAGTGCTCAGTCACAGAGCTTCATTCAGTTAGCTATCCATGGTGCTGAAAAGCCAGAATGGGTAGTCAGAGCTTTGCTACAATAAATATGATACATGTTGCTTAATATGATACATTTGATAGGTGAACACTTTACGTGCCTACAGAATGCAGAGCCAGTTTCACAATAAATCATAGTTTAGTTTCCCTTCTGTCTATCTAAGCCTTTCTATATATTCTTATTGTTTGTTTTAGGTTATTTTGACAGCAAATTAAAATATCTTGGATTCACAGAGGGCACCAGAGATCACGATAAACATATAAAATGGTAGTTTAACGTTCTTGCTGAGTGCAAAGTTAGGGTCTGTATACTGTAGACGCTGGGTCAAGTAAACTCAATTCAGTGTTGGTAATATTGTCTGACCTGTGATTTGCGTATCCTGAGGTCGGCTGACGCCCTCTCATCTGTGTTTGACTCAAGCTGGCGCTCAATAGCTGATGCAAACACACACACACACACACACACACACACACAAAGACAAGTTGTGATTCTGTTGTACTTTGAAAGAGACAGTACACAGATACTGAGAATTCAGTTTCTTCAAATTTCTCATTAGAAATTAGGTCTGCACAATATGGTAAAAAAAAATCACTTTGACTGATATTTATATTGCAATATGATTCATGATGAGTGGGAACAATAATTTTACCATCACAATTTTCATTTAATTTTCCCTGACAACTACTAAAATTTTGAGGATGTGACATTTGTTGGGGTCTGCACCAAACAGACATGCTTTCTTACTGGAGAACAAGATTTGTAGACCAGGGCAGCTCTGCAGCACTACAGTACTTCATTATAATGCTGTTTGTAACACATTTTACATTCAAATCAAAATACTGCAGCTTCTGCTCTTTGAATATTGCACAGGGCTGTATTTGAATTGGATAATATTTGGATTTATTGCGCAGAAATACACAGAACTGTGCACATGTATAAAACATAAATACATTTTTTTTTTTCAAACAACGCTAAAATATAATTAACCATCAAGTATCTATCTACCGTAGCATGACATTAGATGTGAGGAGGTAGCCGGGGAACAGCGGCAGTTTTCACACTGCAGCATCAACTGCTCGACTGAATCTCAAGATGCTTCTCATATACGACAGGTTGGTCAGCATTAAAGTGTGACTTCACCCAAAACACAAACACATCTCCACTCTTAGCCTAAGTGTGTATCTAACCATGCAGAGGTTTTCCAACATATGTCTGCGAAAACCTCTACTACTCACAGACTAATAACACGTATTCATTGTGTATACTCATCCTGTTTTAATTGACGGCCATTTTCTGTCAAAGGTAAAAAGAAGAAATACTGACTCTTAAGTTTGTTTCTTGCATTGTTGGCTGACTTCTTGATCTCATTAGTGAGGGCTTCAAGGTCATCTTGTGTTTCTGAAAAAGAGCGTGAGAGCAGATTATGAGCAGCAAGAAGTAACTTAAGCACTGAATGTGTGCGGGTTTGTGTCAGAGACACTCACTCTGCTCAGATGTGGGGGCCGACAGGATGGTGGAGTAGAGTTTTTTGATTTCTGTGACGCTCTCGTCAATCTTGTCAATGCTGGTGCGGATGTCTTCAATCTGAAAGACACACACACACACACACAGATGCACAAAGACACAGATCAGTAAGAAAGAAATATCTGTTTCTTTCTGGATTGTGAGGAACGGACAGATGGACATTAACAGAGTACCTGAGCAAAGAAGTCATCCATAAAGGCCTCGCTCTCCACGGGAACCTCGACGGCATCCCCTGGAGCATCACTCTTCTGTTACACAGACACACACGCACATACACACAAAGGGGGTCAATACTGAACGTAAGGATGAATTGAACAGCCTCTCTACATCAGAAACACACAGGGTTCCCACTCTTATTAAGAAATCATTTTTCCAAGATTTTTCATTTTTCTCCTGAAAAAATGGACTCAACACCAAAAAGATAGCTGCCAGTTAGTTACTGCTCTGTAGTGTCAGCAGTGTCTGAACCGCTGAACCTGATCCTTCCAACAGAGTCGAGTTTCTGACTAAATATACAGGCAGTCTGAGGCATAGGTCTGAGTTCTTAACCTTTTTAGTCTCCGGGATCCCCGTCTGATAACTCCTGGTTTAGGACCATTTAATTTAAAGTATATAAAATGACATATTATTTATCTAAAAAGGAGGCCCTGAAGTATTATCTATTAGAACATACTGTATGTTTGAGCTCTCCATAATGAATTCTGTTTTTTTCCATCTAATTTTCAAAGGGGCCCTTAATGACAAAAAATACATACAAAAAATACAAAAGGATAGAAAAGATAACAGCATACAGTTAAACCCAATTTGACGAAAACAAAACAAAAGGAAAAAAGCCAAATATATCAAGATAAGATCAGATCCTGCTCCTAGCAGAGCATTAAAATGGATCATTCCTTCATAGTTTAGAGTGGTGGTATTAGAAGCTATAATAGCGTTACAAACCATATTTACAGGACTATAAAGGTGTTTTAATGGAGAGGTACAACTGACATTGTGAACATGTACAACTGATCCTAAAATAAAAAGATATTTTTAAGATGAAGTAGAGCAAATATTTACAGGTAGATTAATCCAGTCAGAGGGAGCTTTAAACATGGAGGCTTTCTTAGTTATTGACTTAGAGGGAGTAAGAACAGAAAAAAAAGAATGAATGAAAGCTACAGCTGTCTGCGTGGGTGCTTCAGGTCAAGCATGCCACTGTCACATGACTCCAACATGTAGGTTAAATTACCTCATACACGCTACCAGCTTCCCTCTGCACGCCTGGAACTAAACAGTGAATTGGTCTTGTTGAACCCCTTGGGTTTATATGACAAGCCTTTACTGAATATTGCACATGACTAAGACTTTAGGACTAAATATTTGCAAATAAGATACATTCATAAAATGCCATCACTCTACAAAGCCCACTTAAATAAATGCATGGTTGCATGTTAAAACTTCTAATTTACTGAGTTAGATAAACCTTTTAGGTTGCAAACATTATTTTAATGAGTTGTGTTGACATAAATAACATGGAAAAACTAGTTGGAACAAGTTAATTTTCAAATTTTCACAACTAAAACACGTGTTTATGCTACCAATTATTAAGTAAATTGTAATTAAAAATACCTTTGACTGTAGATGAAAAGCTAATTCCCCTAACTCAGTGTAGTACATTTGTTGAAGATAATTTTATGAGAAGTTGCCATAACTCGAAAAGATTAGTGCAAACTATTGTGTGAAATTCTTCTTGTGAGTGTAGAAATAATTTCCCCTGGGATTATTAAAGTATTTCTGATTCTTTTTCTGATTCTGAATACACTTATATTACAAAATGTGTTCTTCTACTGTGTTTGTGTCTACTATATTCCTTCGTATATTTCAAAAATTCTTAATAAGACGTTTTGAATTTATGCTATTTGTTGAAATGTGTTATTGTTTGGTTCAGTGGAATGGTAGCTAGCTTATCCAAACTGAGCAGCAGTGCCTCCACTCATATTACAGTAGCCTGCTAGTATATTCGTATTAATTACTGGCTAGTAGCAGCTAGGTTATGTTAGGGCCTTTGCT